TTAATGCTTAAACATAAGCATTCTTAATGCTTAAACATAAGCATTCTTAATGCTTAAACATAAGCATTCTTATGTTTAACTCCTCAGTTTTGTTGATTTCTATTTCCAACCCTGATGTCTCAGCCTTAGACCCACATTTCAGATTATCTGCTGAACATTTCCATTCAAATGTCACCTCAAAATTCACTTTGGAATTGAATTCCTTGTCACCTTTCTAGAAAATCAGCTTTTCTTCTTGGAAGTCCTATTTCTGTTAGCAGCACCATCTCGTCTAATACAACAGGTTTAGATTCTTTAATTAGTTTCAGTTTTTCTCCACCAATCTCCCAATCAGTCAGTGCATTTAGCTTAACCTTCCCTCAAAATGTTTCCTCTATCTGTTCATTTTTCTCCATTCCTAGAGCTATCACTCTCGCATAAGTATCATAACTTTGGAAATTCCTGACAAGAAGTTCCCCATGTCTGCAGGCACAAACTCCTCGCAAAGGTACCCAAGACTCTCCTCAATGTGGACTTATTCCTGGGGGGATGGAAGAGCAGTGACCAGACTAGATTCTTCATTGATCCCACCACCTTTGCTCACTTGAGTCCTTTCCTACAGATTTTAATAAAGACTCCCCCAAAACTGGTATTTTATTCAAATACTACCACACTTTCCAAGGGCAATTTAACTCCCATGTATATCACTATGCTATCCTAGAAAATTCTAGCCCACAGCATAAGCCCTTTCTTTTATTTAAAGCACTGAGTCTTGTACACATCTATGATACTTGGTATGTTACAATTTAACTTTTCTCATGCGTATATAGTAGACACTAAATGATCATTGACTAAAGAACTACTAAACTGACTTAAAAATTCCTGAATTTCTAAAGGCATTGTTTTGTATATTTTGGTGATCAACAGGAGAATAAAACCTATAATGAGCATAATTTTTAAAATACAAACAAGGTCTGGTCTACAGAATATTACTGAGGATTATTTTCTAGCAACCCCACTAGTACTTATAAATAATCCTACATACCAAATGAACACTGTTCTTTTTAAGGTACAACTTGTAATGGAACTATTAATTTTTCACATTCCATGTTCATCAAGCAGTTTCAAATACAATGACATTATCTAAGCAATGTATCACTGGATTATACATCATCATTTTATTGGGGAAGAGAGTTAGAATACACTTTCTAGTACCTAGTTTGTGACGTCTTATTTGATATACAATTTGTGATAATGGTTTTCCACTGTGGGAAGAGATGGTCCCTGACATGTGCTTTCAGAAACAGAAAAATCATTTTTATCGTCTATTTTTTTTTTAAGATTTTATTTATTTATTTGACAGAGAGAGAGAGAGAGAGAGAAAACACAAGCAGGGAGAGGAGTGGGAGAAGCAGGCTCCCTAAGTAGGGAACCTGATGCTGGACTCAATCCCAGGACCCTGGGATCACCACCTGAGCTGAAGGCAGACGCTTAAGCCACCCGGGGGCCCTATTGTCTACTAAGTGTTATAGTATCATCTTTGGTGAAATTCATCTTATTTAAATACTAATAGTGGCAGTACACTCACCATATTTCTTACAATACATCACATTCAATGTATGAAGCTTTTCAAGATGACCTTAGGAAAGGATTCACCATCTTCATGTCACTACCTGTCATCACTATCTAAAAGCTGCAGGTATCACAGATGAGAGTTCCAAATGGAACTTGATGAAATTTAATTATCACAAAATAAGATTAAAAAAATCCTGTTATGTATTTAATTACAGGAGCTATAGCTTAAAGAAAGCTTAGATACAGTGTCAATATATTTACCAGATAAGAAATTTTCAAGGATAGTATTCCAAGTTTCTCCTGAATTTTCTAAAACTTGTCCTAGAATTCAGGAACTTAAAAAGCTCAAGAAAAGAATCTACCCTTCTGTTTCTTTGTGTTTTAGGCTGCATACTCTCTTTCCTGGGAGAGTGGAGGCAAAGATCCACTTGGGGAGGAAATCCTAAGAATAAATAAAGGGATTTTTTTTTTTCTCTTCTTGGTCAAGAATACAGTTACACTCACCTGAAATCAGTAAGGGAATAACGCAATTTTACTGCATAGTAGTTATACATTTTAGGAAATATAATCATGAAGAGAACATGGAAAACAGAGAAGAACAGAATGCATTAAAAAAGAAAGAAAGAAAAGGGGAGCCTGGTTGGCTCAGTCAGTGGAGCAGGTGACTCTTGATCTCAGGGTTGTGAGTTCAAGCCCCACGATGGGCACAGAGATTACTTACAAATGAAAAAAAAAGATCAAGAGATATCCTAATTATATCTAGTGATACATGTTTGACAGAACAGTTTAAAAAGAAATGTTACATTAAAGATGGCACTAACATAAAAAACTTGTTTTCCTCACCTTTTTGGACCTCCAACAACGGCAATACACAGCTTTATCTCCCAAATCCTCCATATCAAAAGCATGTACTATCTTGGGGTTGTCTTTCTGGATGTGAAGGTTTACCATAGATTTGTTGCGATGATCTTTAACATAAAATCTTTTGTAAGCTAGATAACCAACTGCAGCTGTCCCAGCAGCAATAGTAACTGCTGCGATCCATTCAACTAGAGCGGGGAAGGAAAACAGGAATAATCATCAAAACCGAAATATACACTAATAATGTGTATTTTTACTAACATGATATGTTTAGGAAATCCAGTTTTTGAGTTAAGCATTCCGATAGTCAAAAATTTTTTCTGTTAACAAAATAATCACAACACACTGGTGTAACAATTCTTGTTAAGACTTTCCCCAGCCTTTACTGAGGCAATTGCGTATTTTCTATTGAAAGATGATAGCTAAATTGAGATAGAGGAAAACTTAAAAAAAAAAAAGAAAAAAAGAAAAAAAGAAAAAAACCGATGTTTAATAATAATTTTTTTTTTTAAGATTTTATTTATTTACTTGACAGATCAAACAAGTAGGCAGAGAGGCAGGCTCTCTCCGCTGAGCAGAGAGCCCGATGTGGGGCTCGATCCCAGGACCCTGGGATCATGACCTGAGCCGAAGGCAGAGGCTTTAACCCACTGAGCTACCCAGGCGCCCCTTTAATAATAATTTTTAAAGTGTTCATAGATTTAAAATAAAATGCAAACCTGAAGATACCTACTGCTTAAAAAAAAAAACCTGATAAATAAAAAAATTCAGATTATAAAGACTACCCCCACCCAAAAAATCAGGAGGTGATTATGTTAACAAACTGACTCATCAGAGTTCATTTAAATAGTAGGTCCTTTAGTGATTTTAAAGTGCATAACCACAAACAGCATTGGTATCTGAAGAAAAAAAACAAACAAAAGGACAAATAAAACTAAGCCGCCCTTAAACATTCAAAGAAATATATCCAGCAGGATTCTGGGCTTCAGTCACTCAAAAGTTTTTGTTTTTGTTTTTTAAATTTAAAACTGCTTTCTCATTAGAGTAAAAGTCAGGTGTATTAAATCAGAATGTATTAATTTCTTATTTCAGAGAAAACATGAATATAATTACAGTTATATTCTCAATAAAGTCTAAATTTCCATTACCCACCAGTGGATGATGATTTGAATGCCCTACAAACGTCATTTTAAATTTAATGACATTTTTCTACTCAATATTTGCTTGACTAACAGACCATCTATTTTTCTTTTCATGTAGCTTTTCAAGGAGCCCTTAGAAACCCAAGCACTTAACTACCCCAGTTCCACAGAATGTTGGAGAGTAGAAAGTTCTGCATAGTCTGGTTAGTCTCAGCCTCAGAGGAGAGTTGTCTATTCCCAGCATGGAGTGAACTGCAGGAAGAAGTTGAACAGGGGTCAGGATAAACACACTGGACTGCTTCCCAGCACTTCCTGAGTCAGATCTTCTCTGTGTTTGTAATAAGTTCCCAGACTATCAAATAAAGTTCTAGAGAGATAAGTACAAAAAACACATTCCAAGAACAAATAAAAACATATAATGAATCATCAACTGTATGGCTTATTTGCACTATTGAGTCAAATTTCTTATTTGTGATTAATCACCCTTCCTAATAGTGCCCTACATTAAATTGGAGCTCATTGTTAGAAAACTATAATGGGAAGGAACAACCATTCTCACACTTCGTTCCTTTTATCTTGGGTCCTCTCTTTTAACTCATTCCTTGGATTCTACTTTCAACTACAGTATTCTCTACAAAACAGTTTTCCTTCCCACAATATTTCTATTCCTCCCTGCTAAAATCCTTTTAAAATAAACATTAACATTATGTCCTTCCCAGGTGCTACATGACTAAGACAAGTTATTTGACAGCTTCAAACTTTGGACTCACTAAAGAACGTTTTTAACTACACATTTTGTGTAGATTGGTCTTGAATTTTAGTGCAGCTTCATGATATTACCCTGTAGCAATTCCAAACAGGGCTGAAACTTCGCTCTGATTTCTAGCTTGGTTCATGATAGTCCTTTCTGATGTATTATTTACCATGGAACTCCCTTGAGAAAGGACTCAATGTTAGGAGCTATAGCAATCTGCTTCTAAGTTAATGGAAAGCCACTCTGATTAGCTAATGTACGTATCACAAAATGGGCTAAAATACTGCTATGCATAGTATATGTTCAATTATATTTGCTAAATATTATCTTTAGTATAAACTTAAAAGGAGGAAATATCCCAAAAGAATAAATTAACACAATAAAAATTAATCTTAGTTACACCCCACTTTTTAGGTGAATTATGAAGTAATCCCTAGCAGATTTGCTTTAATAGCGCCTGCATGTATCAAAAAGGTCTGAAACCCAAAGAACTAAAATCGGTTAAGATTAATTTGTCTCACAACATAAGAAAGAAATCCTATAGGAATTTCTACATGAAAATCGTAATAGGCCAAAAGAATCTTTCTTAACCATCAAAACAGTCTTCTATTCTCTTTTCTCATATTAGCCACTGAATCCATAGGACTTTTTTTTTTTAAACCTTTACTTCTCTGAATTTTTGACAGTGGAATAAATGACAGAATAACTGACACACACAAGAGGCAATAGCAAATGAAGAAATGGAAACTGAGTCTAGATATTATTGAAAAGTAGCTGCCCCACAGGGAATCAAAACACGCAGTGTTACTCTACCCCCTAACAAAGGTGACTTATGACCCTATATAAATGTCATAGTACCATATGTGTGCTAGGAAAATGGCTTTGCATTTGCTCCAGTGGGTTTTTCAGAATCAGGGCTAGATAAATTCTTAAGAATTTCCATCCCCCCTGACCCAAAAACCTAATTCTCTAATCTCATAGAGACAAATGTAAAAGTTCCCAGAATAAGAAATACGTTACTGTTTTATCATTTCATGATAAATGAATCTTTTTTTTTTTTTTTTTTTCTGGCAAAAAGCTGTGGATGCCACTGGCAACTCTAGGGAAAAGAAGGAAAAGGAAACCTGTAGAGATAGGCAAGAATGATGATTGCCTGAAAAGTCAACAATTAGAATAGAGAAAGAACTGAAAACCCAATATAACAAACAAATAAAAACAACAAAACCTAAGTAACATTTAGTTTTTGATAGTGGGCATATTCTATTAAGAATAAACACAACTTCAAAGGCAAAATGAGACTTTACTAAAGCCCAATTTTCAAAGACATTTCAGCTGGCACCTTTCAGACATTCTTTCCTAACCGGGGTCCAGAAAACTCCTGAGCACTACTTCTGCCTCTTCTGGTTTTACCCTCACTTCCCTTCTCTTATAAACATCTCTCAAGGTACAGTATTCCTACAGTTAGATCAAACCCCACCCTTCCCAATCTTGCTTAACCATGCTTTCTCTCTCTACAATACAATGAATAAGCCAATATAAAGAACAAAATACAGGAAATACATTTCTAAATAATCCTTTCCATTCTTACTCTTCCCTTGGTCTACTATTGTATAATATTGATTTGTATAGTAGAATACTGGTTTTCTCTCAGGATAATTCAGATACTGAAAACAATCTCTTGTTTATAACCCATTCCCCAGCTTTTCTCTTCTACTGCGGAAATTATTTTGTTTTAACTTAGACAGAAATCTCACCCTGTTTCTGTTCCTTTAGTCCCTTATCTGTCCAAAATGGTCCTCTCCTCCCCAGTGTCAACTGCCACAGAATCAGAATGTCCTTTTCTTCTCAGGAGAGGGGGAGGGGGACTATGTTTAAATCTTTCCCTCCCTAAGGTCTCTCTCCCAGATCGGCAGGCTGTGCCTGGTAATGTTTTTTTCTTAAGGCCTGGCTTACAGGTGGTGTTCAATGTTAGCTGAATAAAAAGAAATAACAGATTATTAATTCGAATTTGCAACTCCTTCTGTCTATTTTACCATCACATTGCTCTTACGCCAATTGACTTATCTTTGGCCTCATCTTAACATACTGTATAAGTGTGGGACTTAAACATTTCTTTATATTAAAAATAAAACTTTAGGAATGCCCGGGTCACTGAGTCAATTAAGTATCTGCCTTCGGCTCAGGTCATGATTCCAGGGTCCTGGAATGGAGCCCTGAATTGCATGGGGTTCCTTGGTCAGCGGGGAGCCTGCTTCTCCTTCTGCCTGCTGCACCTCCTGCTTGTGCACTCACGTACGCGTTCTCTCTCTCATAAATAAAATCTTAAAAAAATAAAAATAAAACTTTATTATGGAACACTTCAGACATATACAAGGATTACTATAATGAACTCCCATTTACCCTCACTCAGCTCCAACACGGATCAACTCACTGCCAATCCTGTTTCAACTATAGTCCCTAATGTCCCCCAATATTTATTTATTGTTTATAACCTAAAGGAGCAGATTCAATGACTTTTAGAGGTATCAAGGAGCAACACATATAGTAAACCTCCTAAAAGTCATATACTGGGTTGAGGAGGGGTCACTAAAGATGGGGGACTCCACTGTAGTGAAAGATGCTTAATGTTAGAAACTATAATAAACTAGTAGTATCTGGTATCACATAAAAAATAAGTTCAGCATAAGTATGTTGATTATACCTCAATAAGGGAAAAACAAAGGTTGGCATCACCCACTCAAAGTATATCAAGAACCATCTCATTGAATAGGATCTCTGGATTTCAATGCCAATGACTTATCCTCATTGACTTGCCCAGATTTACATCCTGGCCTGATCCCTATTAATTTATTTATAACCCACAACCCATTATTTTTCTTCTGAATACAAACAAGAATTCTACATGCATAGGCAACACCCTTTTTTTATTTAACATGTACTTACAAAGTACATACTATTTTTCAGCCCTTTATAATTATTAATCTATTTAGCTGAGAAGAGACATCTTTTCAATTCATCTTCCCCAAATTAAAAAATCAAAATTTCAGATTTTTTAGTGTGGTTTAAAAATTGGGAATAATTTGAGGTCTAAATATTACAAGGTGGACTCTCAATACATTATCTGTCCCTTCCTTGCCAAACTACTATGTTTGGAGAAGAAGATAAGAAGGTGCTGGATGAAGTGATTTACAAAGGTTTTGGACCTTTGCCCACAGCCTTTGCCTAACAACCTTTACACTTTTAAGTGAAATAAGAAGTAGTTACTTCTCATTACAAAGTTGAGTACTTCAAGTTTAAGCTGATAACCCTCTTCAACAAGCAATTTCCTATCCCTAGAAAACAGCAAGCCAATGGGAAAGTCACCTTTGGACTCCCTTATGGTTGGATTACACACACACACACACACACACACACACACACACACACACACAAAACAGCAAGCTAATGGGAAAGTCACCTTTGGATTCCCTTATGGTTGGATTACACACACACACACACACACACACACACAAAACAGCAAGCTAATGGGAAAGTCACCTTTGGATTCCCTTATGGTTGGATTAAACACACGCACACACACACACAAATTTGTCTCGATTGCAAGAAAGATTGGCCAGCAGGGAGTCTTAAGAAGTCCTAGGGTTCACTTACTTCACATTTCAATGGGCACTACACCCTGGGTTTAAAATACACAAAATGACTCCACATTTTAAAAACGTGTTGGAATCTTTCCATATCACAAAAGTGCAAACTGTCTTCCTATAAAATTATCAGTGGATCAAGTCATATGATTATCTTATTTTACACAATAGTTTTATTCCTGAGAAAATACAGGTTTGGATTTTTTAAAAAACAAAAACAAAAATCGCTATTTTAAGAGCACCAAGGTACCTCTATTTAAAGATGAGCATCCTTTGAAATAAGTTTTATAATCACCTCCTACAAACTTCATTAGTAAGTTAAAAATGTCATGGGCTATCATCCTAACTCTGCCAGATAACTTTTGGAAACAGACATGAAATTCTCCAATTTAAAGAACAGATTACAAAATTAGGTCTCAGGTTAACAGAGAGCCTTTACAGAACCCGGGCACTCTAGATGCTCAATATTTACTAAATGAATCAACAAGGCTCTTTTTAATTAGCTTCTGAACAATCTCTTTACTTTTACTTAACAACTGTTAAAGGTAACCAAACCATGAGGCGTGGCGTTTTATACCTGGGCAAAGTATTTTATTACTGGTGCACAGTATTATATTAACAGTTCTACCACCACCAAGAATTGTTATAACGTGAATCTCTACATTAATAGATTCTAGCAAATCTCTTAATTTTAACTGGACCTGTTTCCAAACGCCAGACTAGAGCAAAGGAAGCAAGGCTGAGAAAGCCGAGAGTTCAAAGAGCTCCGTTTTCAATCCTCTCTCCTGGACTACTGCCACGGAGTGGCAGATGCCAGAGGGATTAAAAAAAAAGGAAAAAAAAAAACCCACAATAACAACAACAAAAAACCTGGGAAAACTGAAGGTCTTGGGTTGGGTTTCTTTCCTTTAAAAAATGTGCAAAACTGAGATGTGATTAGTCACGCATTGCTTCAGGGTTGCAGAAAATTGATGGTCTGACTCCACGGTGATTTAAACTTGAGAAGGGGGAGCAGTTCTTTTTTTTTAAACCTTTCCTCTTTTCCAAGCTCTGTGATTTAAGAAAACAGAGGTGTCTCAAGGGAGAACAAGAAAAAAAAGCTAGCGGAGGAATCGTTAGGTTTTAGGACACGGCTAGTTAAGGAAAACGTGGTCCAGACTTGGGTAGATGCTTCCATGGCCCCAGTACCCCTTAGGCTTGGAGAGATCACCAATTCATACCGACATCGCCCCCTTTCCTGGTTTGGCCCAGGGAGTCCACAGGCCCGCCCTACGCCCTTCTACATCTCAAGGTTACAGGGCGGGCGGGCTCGCAGGGCAGCGGTAACTAACAGCCCAGAGAGGAGCTGAGGAAGCTGCAACCGGTGCGCAGGCCTCCAGCCTCACCCGCTCCCAGGCCCCACTTCACCTCGTACGCTGGAAGTCAGACTCATGGCGCCGTCGCTTGCAAGGAGTGTGCACAGGACACTAAGCACAAAGAGGCTCTTGCAGAGGCCCGGAGTCAAGGTTCGAGAAACGTCCTACGCGTACCGACTCCAGGCCGCTACGGCGCAGGCGCCGCGGCTGGCCGTGAGCCGGTGTGTATTGCCACTCTAGTTGATGCTGAGCATGCGCGGAGCTGCGTCCCAGTCTAAAGTCTTGAGTCCGGATTTTGACAGCGGGAAAGTAGGGAGGAGACCTAGAGCGGTAGCAACTGAGTGTGCGCAATCGTATGGGGCGGAGTCCTGGAACCTGGGGCAGGGCTTGGAGAATAGAGATTCCAGGTCAGATTTAAGTCTTTTCCAGGTGTGCGGGTTTCTTACGCCAGGTGCTGGTAGTACACTTGACATAATCAGGTATCTAAGATTTTATCTACAGTTTTCTTGCTCAGTTCGGCACCTGCAAGGCCACAACCAGTTTTCATTATAAAATGCCAGTGGCAGACAAGTCCTATTTCAGAACCTCACCTCGCTCACGGTGTACGTCACTTTCTAATGCTTTTGAGCCAGTTATCCATTGAGGACCCTGGAACCCGCGCTAAGGGCTGAGTAGGAGAAACAAAGCGGCTTATTTCTTCAAAAAAAAATGTACTCAAAAAGATACTAAGATTATTCTCTATCTCCTACAGTCTGCAATTAGTGTCAGTTACAAAATATTTTATAAAAGCGGCTTAGGGGCCCAAATTTGGGAAGGGGGGTTAGAATTAACTCAAAGGGTGTTTTGAAGATGCATTTTCTAAGAAGCTGCTTGTTTTTACTCTTCTCGTTTCCATGCGTGATGGGAACCGGAGGGAGTTGATTGCAGGGTAGCCTCCCAAGCCAGGACCTCCCAATTCTCAACACGTGACTGATTGCTCCTCACACCTGCAAGCCCCTGGAGTCTTTGAGCCGGACCCCAGGAAGCGCTGAAACGCCCAGTGAATGAATGAAGCTACAATAGCCCGGCCGGCACCGTAAAGCCAGCTCAGCGGTGGGGGGTGAGAAAGACCGCGAGGGCCCTTGCCCCATCCGGTAGCCTTCCGTTCGCGCTGGCTGCGCCAGGCTCCCGCCCCGCTGCAGGGGGTCCCGTCGGGCAGCCTCTGGGCATGCTCAGTAGCAGCGGCGGCCGCGGGTCGCGCAGTCGGAAGCTCGCGGCTGCGGCGGCGGTGCAGGCGGCGCTGACGCGCTCGGCAGCTGAGGGGACTGGAGGACGGCGGGAGGGGGCGGGGGCGCAGGAGGTGGGGCCGCCCTCGCCGTCAGGGCCCCAGGGAGAGCGGGGCGCCGCCGCGGCCGCCGCTCCTCGCCTCGGTTCCGTTTCCAGGGCTGAGCCGGCAACGGTAGCCGCAGCGGCAGAGCAGCAGGAGTCGGGAGCCGCGCTCCGCCGAGAGTTAGGCAGGGGAGCGCTCGCGCTTCCGCGGCGTCATGGGCCCCCTTCCCGGGCCTCAACGGGCACCAGCCGCGGGAACCCCCGGGCCTCCTCGCGGCCAAGCCTAAGCGACCCTCGGGTTCTCCGGCTCCCCCTCCTTCCGCCTTATTTTTTTCCTGTTCTCACTGCGGCTATACCTTCAGCTTCGGCTCTCCGTTATGGCAACGGAGCCGCCATCCCCCCTCCGAATTGAGGCGCCCGGCCCCCCAGAAATGCGGACCCCACCGGTGAGCGAAGCCCCCCCCGAGGGCACTCGGAAGCCGGCAGGCGGCAGGCTCTGCTTCCTCAACGGATGCGTGCCCCTCTCGCATCAGGTGGCTGGGCACATGTACGGGAAAGACAAAGTGGGTAAGTGGGGGGGTGGCGTGGGGCTCGCCGCTCCGCTTTCGCTTGTGTGAGCCCCCGGCCGGCCGAGGCAGCTTGGCGCTCACTGGCTGGGCTAGACTCCCCTCCTGTTTGCGCACAGCACCCCAGGCCTATTCCGCTGTTCCCCGGAGCCTCGAGACCCATGCAGCAGAGGCTCGAAAGGCGGGGGGGGATTTCTAGGGTGGGGGGCATTAGGCCAGCCGCGGGAGTTGGGGGGGAGAGGAGTGCCTGATCTTCCCAGGAGGGTGGTTGTTGATTGGAGACGGCGTAGTTAGTGAAAAATAGGAACTTACTGAACGGGGAAGTAAATTCTCCCCTGAGCACAAGGTCTGTTTATTATAGGCGGGGAGCAATTGCACAAGAAAAGGAATGAAATGCAGATGATGCTAATCTAGTGCTTCTCTTCTGTGTGCAGCTGCATAGCTGGAGGGGAAGAAAAAACAGGGCTTATTTCATTTATTTATTTACTGGGAACGTTTTATTGGCTTATCCAGGATCTTTCTCCCCATTCCTTTGAGAGGTTTTTCCTGGTGTCTCCTGGGTTTTTCAGGAGGCGTGGTTCGGTAATGCAGAAACTCGAATTTCGTGGTAGGAAATATACCCTGCTGTTACTAGAAAGGTACACAGTTAAGGCATTCAGTTATTCTTGATTATCTTTTTAAGACTGTGTCATGGTCTGTGTAACACATTTTGTGAGCCCACCACGTTTAAAGCACAATGTAGGACCTAACGCGGTTGATTGTCTTGGTGATGTAAAAGTTGAGTTTAGGAACCGTAATTCACCTAGTTTACTCACACTGGTTCTCCGGGCCATGATTACTTGGGGAATCTGATGTATGAGTATGTGAGTATTGCAGATCTTAGACTTAGAAACCATTAGATACAGTTTGGTTTATGTTAGTAAAATGATTCGGGCTTAGGGTAGTAAGATAATATTGACATTTTTAGAAGAGTAACTGAGGCCAAGCCTGGTTAAGTGGCAAGCCTGAAGTCACACGTGACTGCGTGTTAGATTCGGGACACCAAGGGTCATGCCTCAGAACACTGTACATCGTGTATTGTTCTTGCAGATAACTCATCCAACAAGGATTTTTGAAAGTGGATGAGTATTTGTTTGAATCTTTGTATGTATGTTATTTCTCAAAGAGCAGTATTTCTTCCTGCTTTTATCTTTACCCACCTTTCTTTTTTCATGGTGAAAGTTAGGTGTTAATGATGATGTCATGTAGACTCTGCCTTTGTCCCCACTGAACTGTGAGTTCCTTTAAGTTAGGGACCAAATCTGTTTATCCTCATAGCCTTGTCCAGGGATTGGGGCTCGGTTAAATTGGGAAATGTTGAAAGAGTGAAAAATGACAGTTCTTTTAGTACACAGAGGCAAGGAAACAAATGTAGTTCTCAAGGTGCTTAGCCTAGATGTAAGGAAACAGCTTAAGATGCTTTGCACAGACACATTTTTGTGTGTGTCTCTTCTGGTATTGAAAGTTTGAGAGTAATTATGGAATTATTGTTAGTAAATTTATACTGCATACCTACTGATTTATTTTAATGAATTGTAATGATAATATTCCTAATAGTATTTTAGAAGCCTTAAAAAAAGTAATTGTTTCCTAAGGGTCCCTAGAGATCGACTCATGTACAAAGGAAAATAGATAAAATACCGCAGAATACACACAATTTCGATGGTGATTGTCATTTGAGAGTGTAACCACTGCTTATCAAAGTGTGTAATAGTGAACCTATTCAGCCTATTCACAAATGTACTCTAAATGTGACTTTATACCACATTGCAAACAGTGGCTGAAAGTTGTTTTGGCACCCAAATTACCTAATTGAAGGAGTAGTTGAGATTCTAAAAGTCCTTAATTTTATTTATTATTGCATTCAGTTTAAAAAATTTTGTAAGATACTCTTGACTAGGGATTGTCTGTATCACTAGTGCACAATGCCTCAAACATACTGTGCTAGCAACCTAATAAATATTTTATTGAATTTAATTCATAGTTATTTACACAGCCTAGCATGTATTATTAATGAAAGGACACCTGAATGATGATAATCTTATGTATTCATAAAATGGATAACAAGATGCTCAATAATTCAAAGTTCAAGAATTTATTGTGTCTCTCTACTACCATAAATCACAGTTGTAAAGTACTTTGTGTAGATTATACTTTGGCTTGGCTGTCAACTGAAATTTTCAGAGTTAATTTTCTTAAAGACATTGTGTGGATATTTGTTTTGCCTTTTAAAATTTTTCTTACTGCCATTAACTAAGGGTTTTTCAGTTTTGGATTGATAATCTATCTTACCTATTTCCAAAAAGGAGTTGTTGGTTTTGTTAAATAAAAATTAAAAACATGAAACCAATTGCACAAAAGTACTTGAATGTAAAAATAGATCTTGTTATAGTTGAGTAATAAGAATATGTTACAGTTCTGCTATCAGAGTAATATTTTGTGTTCTTCACTGAAGTATGATTTCAGTCTTATATCTAAGAATACAAAGTGTTGTTTTGTTTTTTTTTTTTATTGTAAAAGTAGTACATAATCTTTTAGGAAAAAAATTCAAATGGTGTAATAGTACCCTTCTACCTACTCTCCCTCTCCTATAGGTAGTCACTGGTAACTATTCCTGGTGCAACTTCTCAGGTTTTTGTTTCTGGGCACATATGTAAATACACTAACAGAACTCTAATTTTTGTACAAATAGATATATCAGCAACTTTTTTTTTAAAAGATTTTATTTATTTATTTGATAGAGATCACAAGTGGGCAGAGACAGGCAGAGAGAGAGAGGAGGAAGCAGGCTCCCCGCTGAGCAGAGAGCCCGATGATGATGTGGGGGCTCCATCCCAGGACCCTGGGAACATGACCTGAGCCAAAGGCAGAGACCTTAACTCACTGAGCCACTCAGGCGCCCCGATATATCAGCAACTTCTTAAAAATTCTGTATTATGTAGTATATCCATATTTTTGTATTCATAATACACTTCATACTTTTAAAAAAAACTGTTGTATTCCATAGTGTGAATCTATCACAATTTATTCCTCTTGGGATAGATTTTTATATTTTCACTATTTTTTTTTTTTTTGCTATTTTAAGTAGTGTATTAAACATTTTTGTATAATATAGTATACTTAACACATTGTGTAAAATTTTCTATAGGGAGGTTTCACAGTCTTCATAGGGAGGAATTTGGTTTAAATTCCCAAAGTTCACCAGAGTTAGCATGAAATCCTTTTTCTGTTTTATTATTTAACATGTACCATTAATTTCTTTCAAAATTCCTTAAAGTTTCAAACAAATATTGAAATCCTGTATTTGTTTCCTGATCTAAGGATATAGAAATGAGGTAGTCTGAGTAAAAGAAGGATTTAAACTGGTGTTATCTATTTTGGCTTATGGTCTGTTTTATTAGATATGTTCTAAAACTAATTGACTTAAAATAATTTCAGACTTACTGGAAAGTTGCAAAGACAGTATAGAGAACTTAACATTTTATGGAATTTCTTTCTCTTGCATATTATTTATTGGGGGGGAACTATTTGAGGATAGGTTGTATATATCTTGTCCCTTTATACAGTAATATGTCAGTGTGTTTTTCTGTAACCATGGCATATTTATCAAATATATGAAATTTAACAGTGATACAGTGCTTTTATCCATAATCCATATTCTAATTTTGTCAGCTGTTCTGGTCTTTTATCATACTTGTTTTTCTCAGTCCAGGATTTAGTTAAGGATCATTTATTGCATTTAGTTGTCATGTCTCTCAGAATCCTTTAATTTGTAACAGCTCCTCAGCCTTTATCTTTTATGACATTGTCATTTTTTAAGAGTACCAGCTAGTTATTTTATGAAATGTTCTTTTTTTTTGGATTTCTGATGGGTTGTTACGGTAAGATTCAGGTGATGTGTTTCTGACTGGATTATTATAGAAGTGCGTTCTCCTCAAGGTATCACATCTGGAGGCCTTCAGTGTCCATCTGTCCATTATTAGTGATATTTATTTTGATCATCTGGTCCAGTTATGGTCTGGCTTCTCCAGCATGTAGTTAATATTTTTCACTTTGCAACTAATAGTGCAAATTATTGGAGAGACACTTTGAGATCATGGACATATCCAGATCCTCCTCAGACTTCATCTCTATATTTGGCATCTATTGGTGATTTTTGCCTGAAGCAGTCTTTACTCTGAAAGTTGAAAAATTGTGATTTTTCTCTCCAGTTCTATCACTACCTCTATTTTCACAGTCAGCATTCTAAAAACAGCCCTCACTTTACTCCTGTATATGTCCTTTATTAATAGTTTGGACCCATAGATTCTTATTTTATAGTGTCATGACCCATTATAGAACATATTTATTTTGGTGTTCAAATTGTCCCAGATTTGTTGAGTGGGAGTACTTCCTTCCTTTCTGTCACAAGTTATTTTAGACTTATACTTTCCCTTCCCAATTCTAGAGCCAGCAGTTGCTTTCAGGAGTCCTGGTTCATTTTCAGTGGGAAATGGTATTTTGAAACTAAGATCTGGGTGCTAGATGTGCTCATTGCTATTGGAGTGTTATTGCTTCTTGGCCCTTCCAAAGAACATAACTGAGAAGAATGTATAAATATTTAGAAATCATAATTTATACTGGTATTTCCAATTTCTTTCCAGTACCACAGAGTTCTTTCCTTTCCTAATTCTAAATTTGTATTTCTCATCTACCTCAGTGAGAACCCTGGCTCGCAACATTTTTAATGTTCTTGTGTGTGTGTGTGTGTGTGTGTGTGTTTTGGTTTGTATGTTTTGCTTGTTCCTGTAATTTTCAGAATTTCTATACCCCTACTACCACAGAAAACAAACCTAGAATAAAGAATTCAAGATGAGATTCCCTTATACTAAGGGTATGTGGTTGGAAACACTTCAGAAGCTATTGGATTAGGGGTTTGTGGGGTGGGGGAGGTTATTTTTCCCCCCTCTTCTCTAAGGTAAT